AACTCCAGGGCTCAAGCGCATTCCTCCTCCTCAGCCTCCCAGACGTGCTGGACTACAACGTGGGTCACCACCATTACCGGCTTCATTTTTCGTTTTTCAGCGTTGCCTGCTAACATTTTTTTCTATTCGTTTCAGGTAGAGATGGGAGGTCCACTCTTGCTCTAGGCTCGGTGGTCAATCTCCTGCGCTTAAGTCTCAGGAATCTAAAACTTTTTAAAACAGGAGCCAGTTCACGTCCCTCAGACCTTTGGAGATGTGCGCACTGTGGATCCTGGGACAGTTGGCGGCTAAGCAGACGCGACAGCGCAGGCGCGGCCGGAATGCCCCCCTTAGCGGGCAGCATGTGGCCCGTGGCCATAGTTTGAAGTCGCTGCTTCAAGTGATCCTTCTGCCTCAGCCTCCCAGAGTGCTAGGATTACAGGCATGAGCCACTGCACCTGGCCTGAATTATCTAATGTTAAACCAACCTTACAACAGTGGTTCTCAATTTGACTGGTCATCAGAATCACACAACCAAAAAATCTTTTTAAAATTCTAGATCTAATTGTGGCAAAGATGTTTTTTTAAAAGTCTGTGAACAGCAACAAAGCGAGACTCTGCCTCAAATAAATAAATTAATTAATTAAAATAAAAGTCTGTGAACAGCCCGGGAGTGGTGGCTCAAGCCTGTAATCCTAGCACTCTGGGAGGCCAAGGTGGGCGGATCACTTAAGGTCTGGAGTTCTAGATCAGCCCGCGCAAAAGCGAGACCCGTCTCTATTAAAAATAGAAACAAATTAATTGGCCAACTAAAAATACATAGAAAAAATTATCCGGGCATGATGACGCATGCCTGTAGTCCCAGCTACTTGGGAGGCTGAGACAGAAGGATTACTTGCGCTCAGGAGTTTGAGGTTGCTGTGAGCTAGGCTGACGCCATGCCACTCCAGCCCCGGCAACAGAGTGAGACTCTGTCTCAAAAAAATAAAAAAAAGTCTGTGAACATAGAAAAGTGCAGACTAATATTGTTATAATATCTGGGTTCCTATTTTTCTTTATATTTCATATTTTATTAAAAGAAAACAAAACAATACAGATAACATGGATGTCCCCTTTCTTCCTCTTTTCAGTTTCATTCCCTTCTCTTCTCTGGGGAGCTTCCCCATGTTAGTAATTTGTATATTTCTTTTGTTTTTAAGCTTAATTACTTAAAAAAAAATAGGTAGTAGGTGTACATGGTACAAAATTCAAAAGGAACAAAAGTTAAGTCCTACTTTGCTTCTAGCTATCCATTTCCCCTCCCCAGAGACAATCAGCGACACTGGTTTTTGTGTGTCCTTTAACAGATATCTGACATCTGTCCAGATGTAGCCCCAAACAGTATCATGCTCTACAGACTGTTCTCCACTCACCCATGTCCATTTAACAATACATATTGGACATCATTCCATTTCATAGCTTATCTAGTGATGTGATGCATAATGATGTTTCATTTAACAATAGACCACGTATACAATGGTAGTGCCATAAGATTATCATACTGTATTTTTATTATAGCTTTTCTATGTTTAGATACACAAACATTTACCATTGTGTTACAATTTCCTGTAGTGTTCAGTATAGTAACATGCTGCACAGGTTTCTAGCCCAGGAGCAATAGGCTATACCAGGCATCCTCAAACATGCCACATGCCACCCACCTAGGACATTTATCCGGCCCACCAGGTGTTTTTGCCACAGCTGCCTGTCCTGCTTAGCAGCCAGCTCTTCCCCTGGGCCCACAGTGCGCACTCTCCAACAGTCTGAGGGACAGTGAACTTGGCCCGTGTTTAAAAAGTTTGAGGACCCCTGGGCTCTACAATACAGCCTAGGTGTATAGTAGGCTGTATAGTAGGCTATACCATCTAGGTTTGTGTACATATAATACTCCATCGTGTTCACACAACAACAAAATCTCCTAACGATGCATTTCTCAGATCATATTCCTGTCTTTAAGCAATGAGTGATTGTAGTTCTAACCTGAATTGTATTCTATTATATTGATGTATGGTATTCTATTTAGCCAGTCTCCTTTTGATGGATATGAATTCAAGCTGTTTTCTAATCCTTTGCTATTACAAACAATGCTGCAATGAATAATCTTCTATATTATCTTTGGGAACCTGTGAAATGGAATTGCTAATATAAAATTTTGATAAATAATGCAAAATGGTCTCCATAAGTGTTTACTAATTTTTATTCCTACCAACAATATATAAAAGTACTAGTTTTCCCCTACACTTTTGACAATACAGTATTTTCAAATGTTTTGATCTTTATCACTTAAAAAGTGATGAAAAATATACAAGGTTAAAAAAGTATATTTTATTGTTTTATTTCACCTTTATTAAGAGTGAGGTTTTCCATCAGTCTTCCTCATATAAAAAAAAAAAAGAGTGAGGTTGAACATCTCTTTATGTTTATGAAGACTTTTTGTCATTTTCTCTGTGTTATCTATTGTCTTTTGCCCATATTTCTATAGGGTTATGCAATTCTTACTGATTTGAAAGAACTTTATACATATAAGTAAATTAGCTCTTTACCTGTGATATGTATTGAAAATATATTTTCTCAGTGTCTTGCTTTTATGATTTTGTTTTTACCTTACTGAATTCATCTATTTTTCTGAAGTCTTTTCTTTAAATCTTTTATTTCATGGCTTATAGGTTTTGTGTCATGCTTCAAAAGGCCTTCTCCACTCCAAGGTTTAAAAAACCATTTCTCATCTTTTCTTCTAGTACTTTAATTTTGAGAAAAATAATGTAGTTATTTTTGGTTCCCTGGAATTTACTTTTCTATAAGAAATGGGGTGAGATATCTTTTCCCTAGATGGCTCCTCAATTGTCCTTTAATAGTTATTTAATAATCTGTCTTTTCTCCCTAGGGAGTTTATTTTTAAAGTATCAAACAGTATTTAAAATGAGAAAAAAAAGAAAAACAAATTACACATTTTTAAAAGTTGACAGGCACTGCAAATATCACATAATCAAGAAAAATAACACATTTTAAATTAACTGATGCTCCTCTAGAATACAGTGTACTGCAGAGAGCTTCCCTCCCCCACTGCTGGAAATGTATTATATAATAAACATCCAGTGAAACTCACTTTTTGAGTTCTATGAGTTTAGACAAATATATAGAATTGTGTAACCAGCCACCACATTCAAGATAGTGACCTGTCCCACCACCTCATAGATTCTCTCGTGCTGCTTTGCAGGCAAACCCTCCCCTCCCCGCAGCTGTGCGCTTCCCCCCCCCCCCCCCCCCCCCGCCCCACCACTGTTTTCCACTGGCACCCACCTGCTCAGTATTTCTGAGACTAGGTGACCATCTAGGTCAGGCATCCTCAAACTACGGCCTGTGGGCCACATTTGGGTATTTTTGCTCATTTGTTTTTTTACTTCAAAATAAGATATGTGCAGTGTGCATAGGAATTTGTTCGTAGTTTTTTTTAAACTGTAGTCCGGCCCTCCAATGGTCTGAGGGACAGTGAACTGGCCCCCTGTTTAAAAAGTTTGAGGACCCCTGATCTAGGTGATAAGGGTTCCCCAGGTGATTCTGATTTGAGTCAAGTAGGAACTCCTGCCTGAGGACATTGCTTCTTAACTGGCAGGAACTTGGCCTGTGCCCTGGAATAGACTCTGAGACCTGTGAACAGAGGCCTTGGACAGGTAGTAATAACAGCTAACGTTTCCTGGGTGTTTGCTGCACGACAGATACTGTACCAGGCACATTTAATGCCTTATCTCACTCTTCACAATAGCTCTACAAGGTAAATCCATCATCCCCATTTTACAGATGAGGAGACTGAGGCTAGAGATTAAGTACTTTGCCCAAGATCACATGGCACCAAGATTGGTGGTGGCACTAAGATTTGGACCCAGGCCAGATAATTGCAGTGCCCTTGCTGCTTACCCTTCACTAAGTTGCCTTCCTCCCAAAAAAGCAGTACCCACCCCATCCTCCCCAGCCTGACAATGTGACAATCACCTGTTTGGCTCTCACATCTTCAGAAGATTCTCCTAAAACAACTTGTTGCTTGGGAAATAGATGTTCCTGAAGCAGGGATGATTCTCGAGGGGCTAAGAGTGCAGAGTGGGGCCAGCTACGGGGATGAGCAGGGTAGGAGCCTGGACTGGGGCAGGGGTGCTGGGTGCTGGGAGACCTCTGCCCGTTTTTGTCTTGCTGACCACACCTTTCCTCTCTCTGCACTGGACAGAGCCTCCTCTGTTTCTCTCCATCTGACCTCCTGCTTCCTCCTCTGGCTTTGGAGTTCCTGGCTCCTCTGACCACCTCTTCCTAAGCCCCCACCTCCTCTCTCTCTCACCTCAGCTTGGTAAGAGGAACAGGGGCTCTCGGGGCTGGGGAGTGGGCCCTGTGAGGGGTGGGCCCCACAACCCCCTCTTCCCCAGGAGGAAGCCTGTAGAAAGTTTCAGGAACACCCCTGAAAAGGTAAATCCACCTGGGGTTCTCAACCAGAGGTGCTACCACTCCATAGCAGGGCATTTGGAAATGGAAGCTGTCTTTTAAAAAACTGTAATTGAATTGTAGTATACAGTATAGTGCACAGATCATAAGCTTGATTTGCACAAGGTGAATACACTCGTGTAACCAGTACCAGATCAAGAATAGAATATTACCAGCATCTGATGTAATAGAACATTCCCCGAAGTTCCTCTTCAGGCCTTCTAGTCACTGCCCCTAGGTGGAGGTGAGGGGTGGGTGGCATTTTTTGTTTGTCACAATGACTTAAGGGCATTTACTTAGCAGGGTGTGGGGATGGTAAATGTCCTACAATGCATGGAACAGTCCTACAGCACAAAGAATTGTCGCGCCCAGGTGCTCTGTTGAGAAACACTGCCTGACAGGTCTGTGCAGTGATGGCCTGTGGTGTGGCAAAGGCCTGGGGCTGCAGCTGTGTCTGTGGGTCAGAGGAGGAGGGGTCTTCACTGCAATGTGTCCACACTGTCACCACCCTCCAGGCCTCCGGAACGCCCCCCGCTGCTGGGCAGTGATCCAGCCCTTGCTGTGTGCCGTGTACATGCCCAAGTGCGAGAATGACCGGGTAGAACTGCCCAGCCGCACCCTGTGCCAGGCCACCCGAGGCCCCTGTGCCATCGTGGAGAGGGAGCGGGGCTGGCCGGACTTCCTGCGCTGCACCCCTGACCACTTCCCTGAAGGCTGCCCGGTGAGTGCTCTGTGGGGCAAGTCTGGGCTCTCTAGGCTGGGCAGGCCCGATGTAGGGCAGGGGCCAGCAGGGAGCAGGGGAGCCCTGAGCCTTTTTCTCCTGGGAGACCCTAATCCTATAGCTGTGGGGTCAACAGGCCACAGACCCAAACTGCAGCTCTCTGGGATTGTCCATTCATTTATCAAAGGGAACATGTTCAGCAAATATTTTTTGTGCACCCACTCTGTTGGCTGTTGGGGTGTTATAGGCATCATGGATGATAGGAGCCTGTCCTCAGGACATTATCTTACATGTGGGGAGTCACGGCTGTGCATCGGAAACAGCTGGAGCCACCAAGACAAAGGACATGATCTAGTTCTGGGTGGTGAACGAGAGATTGTAAATGGTAATAATAACAGTAATAATGATAGTAATAATACAGTTACTGTTACTATATGCCAAATACCATTATAAGTATTTTATACTTATTGATTCATTTAACCCTTAAACCATACCGTCAGGTAGGTACTACTATCTTATAGATGGGGAAACTGAGGTACAGAGAGGTCAAATAACTTGCCCAAGGCTGCACAGCCATTGAGTGGCCAGGCTGGGATTCAAATCCCGGAAACCACCATGCCATGCTACTGGGTTCCTTTCACCAAACAAGGGGCTCATCCCTGAGCTGTCTTTGCACCATCTCCTCCCCATCCCACCCCGGTGTCAGAACGAGGTACAGAACATCAAGTTCAACAGTTCGGGCCAGTGTGAAGCGCCTTTGGTTCGCACCGACAACCCCAAGAGCTGGTACGAGGACGTGGAGGGCTGCGGGATCCAGTGCCAGAACCCGCTGTTCACGGAGGCGGAGCACCAGGACATGCACAGCTACATCGCGGCCTTCGGGGCGGTCACGGGACTCTGCACACTTTTCACCCTGGTCAGCAGGATGGCAAGCTGGGTGGGGGAGGGGGAGGCGGCGGGGCATCCTCAGCCCGGGAAGTGGGAAGGGAGCCGAGTGGAGGGAGGAGGCCAGAAGAGGCGGGGGTCCCTGGGGCAGGTCATGATCAGGGGTTCTGGACTCAGATGAAGGTGTCTGTCTGCTCAGTGGAATAACACTCATCACATTTGTGGTTCTATCTTCTAGGCCACATTTGTGGCTGACTGGCGGAACTCGAATCGCTACCCTGCTGTGATTCTCTTCTATGTCAATGCGTGCTTCTTCGTGGGCAGCATTGGCTGGCTGGCCCAGTTCATGGACGGCGCCCGCCGGGAGATCGTCTGCCGTGCAGATGGCACCATGAGGCTTGGGGAGCCCACGTAGGTGGTCTGGGGACCCAGAGGTGAGGGTGGGAGGAGGAAGGCTGGAATGTATGTTTATCACAAAAGGGACAGGTAGCACTTGAAAGTGAGATTTCCGGGTAGGATTCAGCTCTGCGTTATTGCACCCAAAGTCTCCAGTGTTAGGACCTTGGTTTTGATATCAGGACTTTGATTGTTTGCATCTGCTCAAAGGGGAGCGAGCCTCTTCAGGTCTGACCTTGGTCCTGTCTCCAAGCCCTGACTCTTGGTAAACTCCATTCCTCAGCAGCCCAGGGTCTGGGGACAGGATGGAGGGAGTACAGAGTGGCCTTCCCAAGTGATATCCCACATGTCTGTGCAGCTCCAATGAGACCTTGTCCTGCGTCATCATCTTTGTCATTGTGTACTATGCCCTGATGGCTGGCGTGGTCTGGTTTGTGGTTCTCACCTATGCCTGGCACACCTCCTTCAAAGCCTTGGGCACCACCTACCAGCCTCTCTCGGGCAAGACCTCCTACTTCCACCTGCTCACGTGGTCACTCCCCTTCGTCCTCACTGTGGCGATCCTTGCTGTGGCCCAGGTATAGTGACTGGTAAGGGGCTGGGGACCTGTTGGGGTGGGCTCCGGGGAGGGGGCCAGTGACTGACCGTCCCTTCCACCCCTTGCTGCCGCAGGTGGATGGGGATTCTGTGAGTGGCATCTGTTTTGTGGGCTACAAGAACTACCGATACCGTGCCGGCTTCGTGCTGGCCCCGATTGGCCTGGTGCTCATTGTGGGAGGCTACTTCCTCATCCGTGGTAAGTGAAGACCAGCCCACCTGTCGGGCAATAAAACACGCTGAGCACCTGCTATGTGTAAGTAGGAGCTGGGAGCTGCCGGCTCTGCTGCCTTCACTCCGAGACCTCAGCTACCTCGTACACAGCTTTGGTGCAAAGTAGAAGAAGGTGGCCCTCTGGGCAGACACAGCACCTGAGCACTTGGACATCACCTTTATGCTGGCCCGAAAAATCCACTCTTTTCTGCAGAGCCTTGGCCCAGGGCTCATCTGTTGTCAAGCAGAGCTTTGGCTAGGTTCCAGCCCCAGTCGGCCCTTAGGTGGGTGCTATGTGGTGAGCACCCTGAGTAACACACTCTGTCCACATGAACCAACTTGGAGACCTTGGTCATGTGTGTGCACATTAATTTTATATATACTGCCAATCTTTCAGAGCTTGGTTTCCATCTTTTTCCTGTCTGCAGCACACATAAACACACAGTTTTCATGACATGCACAGAATTGCTGGTCCCTGACTTCCCTGTCTCAACCTGCCACCCTGTGATAAGCCTTGCTATCTGTTTAACCTAGTGTTAGGTTTTCCTTCTCAATTTCAGTTTCCTCACCCTGAACTGTCATTCTTCTGCCTAGCCCACGTCTTTCCACCCTTTGTGGCAGTGTCTGGGACTCTGATTTATGTTCTGTGTCTGTGCTGTCCTGTTCAGCAGCGCTGGCCACGTGTGTTGAGTCTAGTCCAAATGGAGATGTGTTCTAAGTGTAAAATACACACTGCATTTCAAAGGCTTAGCATGAAAAAATGTCATTATTATCATTATAATGGTAATAAGTTCTTATCAATAATAACTTGTTACATGGATTACATGTTGAAATGATTATAGTTTGGATGTGTTAGGTTTATGAGGTATATTGAGTGAGTCTTGCTTGTTTCTCTTTACTTTTTTTAAGGTGGCTAGGAGAACAGTTGAGATTATGTATGTGGCTCACGTTATCTTTCTATTGGACAGTGCTGTTCTCTAGTCTTTGTTTAATGCCTTTTCCATCAGAACAGCTTTGACCGCCTTACTCGGGCAGCTGTGCCAGGACCGAGGTTCCCTCTCTCTCTTCTTGACTGTCCATCTGGGCTCTGCCCCAGTCATCCCAGTCCCTGGCAGATCTGCCACCAGCAGCTCTTTTTCTCCTGTGTCTCCAGTTCCTCAAGCTTTAAATCAGCACAGGCACAATCAGACTTGGGACTCCAGGGCAGTGGAACCCTTCACCCTCCCACTTCCCCATACACCCATCCCTCCCAGGAGAGTGTCTTCACGCCCTCTAATGTCTGAGGTCCCCTTTCTGTTTAGGAGTCATGACTCTGTTCTCCATCAAGAGCAACCACCCTGGGCTGCTGAGTGAGAAGGCTGCCAGCAAGATCAACGAGACCATGCTGCGTCTGGGTGAGTGGCCTCAGGAAGCCAGTCTGACGTCCTGGCCAGCCCAAGACTACACCCTCCTGAGGCTATGGGACCTACAGGGTGCAGTAAGTCAGTGAGACGAGTTAGCAGCCATGGGGACGAGGACAAGGGGTGTGTGTGTAGGTGGTAGCGGTGGTGGCAGGTGAAAAGAAGGCCTTTTGGATGGAAGAATTCAAGTTGGTGTCAAGATCTCTTCCTTGTGCCCACTGTCCTCCCACTTAGGACCTCCCACAGTTGCCTCAAGTGTCTGTCTTGCTTTATTTTGGAGAAAGCAGTTCTTGAACTGAGCCCAGCATGAATTCACCCCAGCCTCAGCAGGCTTTCGAGCCTTGGGGCAGCCGGCCTCCTCCCCACTGCTGCTGCAGTACCTGGGATTGGTAATGTCCTGTCCTGCCCCTGTCCTCCACAGGCATTTTTGGCTTCCTGGCCTTTGGCTTTGTGCTCATTACCTTCAGCTGCCACTTCTATGACTTCTTCAACCAGGCTGAGTGGGAGCGCAGCTTCCGGGACTACGTGCTGTGAGTGAGGGGCTCGCAGGCAGCAGTGGTGGGAGCTGCAGGCAGGACTGGGAGGACAGCCCCTCTGCAGTGTAGCTGGGAGCTGCCAGGGCCCTGCCTCAGACAGCAGATTTCACTGATGGTGTCTGGGTGCCCAAGACATCAGTTGCTCTGTACTTTGCCAAACAACCTCCCAGTCCCTGCTCAACCTCACCCTTCCCTCTGCACCCCTGTGTTTGCCTGGCTGGTGCATTTGTTGTGATTGTCACTGTTAAGAAGCCATTTCATGTTTTGGCTCTAATTCTGACGAGATCGGGCACGTTCAGGGTGGTATGGCTGTAGACTCGGCTCTAATTCTGTGTATTCTCCTACAGAGCTTAGTGTAGATCCCTGCACAGGAATAGTTAGTTAGGTTAACAGCCTGTTAATGTTTGCTAGTTTTCCCTGTGTTTTGTGTCGTAACGAGGATGAATCAGTGGGAATAAGGCATCTCAGCTGCTAAAAAGTGCAGCACCTGCTGTGACAGGGACAGCAGTTCCAGTGCCCATTAAAAGGGACACTAGTTCATGCCCTGACTGCTTCATGCTCCTTCTTAAAGGTTCCAACTTCCAGTCTGAGAATTTTAAACCACAGCAGTGCTTGGGCCTCTCTGCCCCAGAGATTTGGTTTAATTATTTAGGGTGGGGCCCAGACATCAGTAGCTATTAAAGCCTTCCCAGAGGATTCTAATGAGCACCCAGGATTGAGAATCAGTGCTGTGGGGCTTAGCTCTTTCTAAAGTCTTTGGATTGATTGTCTGGGTAGCCACCCTGTGAGCTCAGAGAGCCTCACTGTCTACCATCCCTCACCATAGGTGCCAGGCCAATGTGACCATCGGGCTGCCCACCAAGAAGCCCATCCCCGACTGTGAGATCAAGAATCGCCCTAGCCTCCTGGTAGAGAAGATCAACCTGTTTGCCATGTTTGGAACTGGCATTTCCATGAGCACCTGGGTCTGGACCAAGGCCACGTTGCTCATCTGGAGGCGCACCTGGTGCAGGTGGGGCCAGCAGCCAGTAGTCCTGCCCCTCCACCTTACTCTCAGCCCGGGGTCCCCATCTTTAGACTTTGCCTAGACCTATGTCCACCACAGTGGCTCATCACTGCCCCCTGGTGGCACTCCCTGTCCTTGGGAGGTCTGGGGCCTATGGCCAAGTGTAGAGCCAGCTGCCAGCATCTTCTAAGAGTAGAGTGATTTGAGAGCCAGGCACACAGGAGCCCTGCATTCCAGGCCCACCTCTTTGCAGAGAAGTCCTCTACTCAGAGTCCTTCAGGGACTTGAGCTCCCTTCCCTGGAGGGCATGGAATTACTGGGCCTTCACAAGATTTGATGAGCACCAGCTGCACCTCCACGCCCCACCCCCACCCTTTCTGCTCTCAGGTTGACTGGGCAGAGTGATGATGAGCCCAAACGGATCAAGAAGAGCAAGATGATCGCCAAGGCCTTCTCCAAGCGGCGTGAGCTGCTGCAGAACCCTGGCCAAGAGCTGTCCTTCAGCATGCACACGGTCTCCCACGACGGGCCCGTGGGTGAGCATGAGCCCCTTCCCCCTGTTGGAGCCGCCAGCCACAGCACCTGTGCCACATCCCCTGCCAGCTTGGCGGGGCACCTAGATTGAGCGTGGGGGTCAGGGTGCTCCCTTTTCTCACTCACACGCTCATTCTTCTCCAGGCCCTCCTTTGGGGGATCCTCTCCTCTCTGCTTCTGCCCCTGGGCCTGTTTGCTGGTCCTTTGGTTCCAAGAGGACTCACCTCCCTCTCCCTTCATCTCCTAAATTCTCTAGTTGCTCTCCCTGGGCAAGAGTAAGATAGGGTTTCAAGAACTGGATTTATAGCCTCTAGTTAGGCCCTTTGGGAACCTGAGTCCCCTCTCTTCAGGTTCTGAATGGGTAGAGCAGGAGGGATTGGCTGGACGAAGATGAATGGGGCTGAATAAGGGAGGCGTTGCTACCAGGGCTGGGGAGTCACTGCTCCTTCTCCTTTTCTTCTATTCCCATAGCGGGCTTGGCCTTTGACCTCAATGAGCCCTCAGCTGATGTCTCTTCTGCCTGGGCCCAGCATGTCACCAAGATGGTGGCTCGGAGAGGAGCCATCCTGCCCCAGGATGTGTCTGTCACCCCTGTGGCAACCCCAGGTATGAGGTTCAGGTTTCTGAAGGAAAGGGGGGGACACAGAGGCTGGGTGTTCCTGGGCTTAGGGCACAGGGGCTGCCTGAGAGGCAGGAGGAAGGAAAGGCCCCAGAGAATCTGAAGGGTGGGTCGAGGTGCTGGAAGTCTAGAGGTGTGGGTCTCCGAGCTAAAGAAGCAGGGGTCCAGGGAGAGCAGGGGTGGTGTGGACAGAGCCAAGGCTCCAGGCTTGTGTTCTGTCTCCCCTGGTCAGTGCCCCCAGAGGAACAAGCCAACCTGTGGCTGGTAGAAGCAGAGATCTCCCCGGAGCTGCAGAAGCGCCTGGGGCGGAAGAAGAGGAGGAGGAAGAGGAAGAAGGAGGTGTGCCCCCTGGGGCCACCCCCGGAGCTGCACCACCCTGCCCCTGCCCCCAGTGCTGTTCCTCGACTGCCTCAGCTGCCCCGGCAGAAATGCCTGGTAGCAGCAAGCACCTGGGGCGCTGGGGAACCCTGCCGACAAGGGGCCTGGACCCTGGTCTCCAACCCGTTCTGCCCAGAGCCCAGTCCCCTGCAGGATCCATTTCTGCCCAGTGCTCCGGCCCCCACGGCCTGGGCTCACGGCCGCCGGCAGGGCCTGGGGCCCATTCACTCCCGCACCAACCTAATGGAGGCCGAGCTCATGGATGCAGACTCGGACTTCTGAGCAGGTGACAGGAAAGACAGGAGCAAATATGTTCTGAGGCTCTTCCTCCTCCCTGAGAGTGCTTCCCTAGGATCTTGTCTTCCCGAGAACCTGTGGGCCAGGTGCCCTCCAAGGAGAGTTCCGTGTGTCTGGCTCAAAGCAGCAGGACTGTGGGAAAGAGCCTAACATCTCCACAGGCGGCCTCTCCCCAGCGGCAGGGCTCTGGAGCTCAGGGCCCTTGTGACCACCCTGCCAGCTGGAGTCTGGCCGGCAGCATCAATCTCCAACAGGGTCATGGGGTACACAGAGCTTGTGGTGGGGCAGTAATGGCCGAGGCAGGGGCAATGCTACCTGGAGTGTGCTGTGGTGCCCAGGGAGGCAGCCAAGCCTATGTCCATCAGGTGAGGGCTGCCTGCCCTTTTCTGGGCCGATGGGTGTCCTTGCCTGGCACTCTCAGACCAAAAGTGTTTATTGTGTCATTAGTCTTTTGTCTAAGTAGGGGCAGGGCTCTCCCTCTTCTAGGTGGTTGTGGGGCTGGAAGTGCCTACTCCCACAGGGGCCAGAACCTCTCCTGACAGGTGGCCCTACTCCACACCCACCCTCAGTTCTCCTCCGTCCTCTTCCCCTCTCCCATTTCAGTTCAGCCAGGCCAACCTCCTCCTGTTCCTGTTTGTTGATTAAGACCCAGAATGGCAGCACACCCCTCCCACCCCCACCTTGCCACTCCGTCTCCAGGTGAGAGATTGGTTCAGCTCTGGCGCCTCGGCCTGGAGTGGGATGGAAGCAATAAGTGACAGGACCTCAGAGAGACATGTGTTATCTCTTCCTTGTACCCATTCAGTGGAGGAGGGGGTCCTCTTGACTTGAAGGGCTAACCTGGGAAGCAGCTGTAGCTTTAGCCAGGCAGGAAAGCTTCCTTCAACTTCCACAACCGGTGGGTGAGGACATCACCACCTTACGTAACCTCCAACCATGTCCCCAAAGCCCCACTTTCAAGAACCAGACAGCAGGAAGCCGTAGAAGCTGGCTGGGTTCCCCGCTGGGGGATAGAAAGGGGGAAAAGAAATATAAGCAGTAAATAAAACATTTTTGTATAAACTTTGGGTGTGTTTATTTTCCATAGGCCCCAGTCCTGGCCTATTTATCTGGTCCTGATCTCTTTTGTCTTCCACATCCTCCCAAAGGCTGTTCTGCAAGGTCAAGAGCTTGATGCTAATGAGGTCACCACTGACAGTCATGCTTCAGGCTGACATCAGCTTAGTATGTTGGTTGTCCTCCTTGTCCAGTGGTCTCTACATGGGCGAAAGTTCTTCTGTGCCCACAGCTGCCTCACTGAGCACAAGATGACTGAGCACAAACATGAGCTTGCCCCTGGAGTGATGACCGGAAGCAGGGTGGTCAGGGCTCCTCCTGACAATACTGGGTCCCACCTCTGGGGCCCTCTTGCCTTCTATCAGATATGTCTGTCTGGCCAGGTGCATTCTGATCCACAGCTTCCTCCCCTGGCCAAAGGAATTCAGGCTTTGTCAGGGAGGCCTGTTAGCCCCACTTCCTCTAAAACAATGTCAGCTGAAGACTGGGAACTGGGTCTCAAGGACTCAGATGTGCAAAGGACATCCATGGAGAAAAGGCAGTGGTGCCCACAGACCTGGAGGGTGTTGTGGACTTTTTTTTTTTTTTTTGAGACAGAGTCTCACTATGTTGCCTAGGCTAGAGGCTTGTTGCGTCAGCCTAGCTCACAGGCTGACCTCAAACTCCTGGGCTCGAGCGATCTTCCTGCCTCAGCCTCCTGAGTAGCTGAGACTACTATTTTTAGTAGAGATGGGTCCTTGCTCTTGCTCAGGCTGCTATTGAACTCCTGAGCTCAAGCGATCCCACCTTGGCCTCCCAGAGTGCTAGGATTACAGGTGTGAACTACCACATCTGGCCTGTTGTGGACCATTGACCAGGCTTGTTAGGACAGTACCCTTTTCCACTGCTGCTTGTGTAACTGGACACAGCCCTTTGCCCAGAGCCAGACTCCAAGGGAAGGCAAAGGGAAGCGCTCACATACTGATCACATTCTAGGCACTTGACATGGTATTACTATAGCAATAACAGTGAACTCTCAGCGAGTGCTTGCTAGGTGCTCTTCCAGGCTCCTCACCTACATCAACTCACTGAGTCTCAGCACAGACCTGTAAGGCTGTTAACACCCCTCAAGACACTGAGGCACAAAAAGCTCCCACAGCTTGCCCAAGACCACACAGTAAGTGGAACACTGGGATTCAGGCAGGGTCCTCTGGCTCAGTGGGCGCTTAGCCACGGTGCTGCCTTGAGTTTGATTCCAAGAGTAACAGTGATCTAATCAGAGGTGCTCCAAGCTCAGCGAAGCACAATGACTGGCTTACAACCTCATGGCTAGTAAGGGACAGACACAGCCCAGGGTCTTCCTGCCTCCAATGTCCAGGAACTCTCAGTTCCAACCTTTGATTTCAGTTCTCATCCAGATCTTTCTGTGCACCCTCTGTGCCACCTGCCTTGTCTGTCCTCCCCTTGTCTCAGCACTATAGCAGCTGTTTTTCAGTCTTTTTCAACAGTAGTATTTAAAACAATACTTATCAGAGTCGTTTAATGATCTTTTCTGAAACAAGGAAGAGTGTCACAATTTTCATTTCACCTCTATGACAGCTGACTACTAGTTTCCCATCCCTCCCCCTGTCCCTTCTTTCTTTAGTGGGATTACTTGAGTAAAGGATGGGGGTGTAGGTTGAAAAGGGGGCCAAAAGGTTGAGAAATGTGGCCAGACACAGTGGCTCACACCTGTAACCCTAGCACTTTGGGAGGGTGAGGTATGAGGATAGCTTGAGGCCAGGGCTTTGAGACTTTCCCGAGCAAAAGCCAGATTCCATCTCTACAAAAAATAGAAAAATTAGCCGGGTGTGGTGTGTGCCTATAGTCCCAGCTACTTGGGAGGCTGAGGCAGGAGAATAGCTTGAGACCAGGAGTTTGAGGTTGCATGCCACCGCACCCCAGCCTGGGCAACAGAGCGAGATGCTATCTCCAAAACAAAAAAAAGTTCAGAAATGTGACCTTTTTGTGGATAGTAGTGGAGGCAGTGGAGGAGGTCAACACTGTGACCACTAGAGGGTAGTGTTAGCCCACCTTTTGTGACTGCAGGCTGCTGCTGGATGTCCAGGAAGACCGTCATTCCCACAACCAAGAAATCTTGCAGCATTTGTATAGCAGTCTCAGATCTCAGGACTGAGCAACAGTGGCCACCCTTCTACCAAAAGCTCCTGAATAAGATCCCCAAAGAAACCCCTCAGGGTCCAAGAAGAGCCAGGTTTGGGAGCCTCCCTGTTGTGCCGCTGCCCTGAGAGCAGAGCTCTCCGTGCACTCACCTCTCCAGCAGGCTCTGCCCTCCGCTGCCTCGTGGGCCTCCTCACTACCCTCTCCAACTCAGTTGTCCAGCTGCCCAGGTTTTAGGCTCACTTCTGTGGGTCCCACCTTTCTTTTATTTATTTATTTATTTTATTTTAGGTCCCACCTTTCTTTCTTTTTTTTTTTTTTTTTTTGAGACAGAGTCTGGCTTTGTTGCCCAGGCTAGAGTGAGTGCCGTGGCGTCAGCCTCGCTCACAGCAACCTCAAACTCCTGGGCTCAAGCAATCCTGCTGCCTCAGCCTCCCGAGTAGCTGGGACTACAGGCATGCGCCACCATGCCCGGCTTATTTTTTCTATATATATTAGTTGGCCAATTAATTTCTTTCCATTTATAGTAGAGACGGGGTCTCGCTCTTGCTCAGGCTGGTTTCAATTCCTGACCTTGAGCAATCCGCCCGCCTTGGCCTCCCAGAGTGCTAGGGTTACAGGTGTGAGCCACCGTGCCTGGCCAGGTCCCACCTTTCTTAAAGCAGTCTGTCCACTGCCTTTCTTCCTTCCTCTGCCTGCTTTTTTGTTTGTAAGAAATTGAAAAGAGATACAATAGCACAAAGAACAACCTAATAAACACTGAAGTTCCCATCACTCAGGATTATCAGCTGTTTTTATGATTTCATCATATTTCCTTTAAGCCTATTTTTTTTAAAGAAATAAAGTGTCACAGATTGAGCTAACAACCTTTGACCAATATCCCTGTCTCATTTTTCTTCCCATTTTCCCCCTCCTCAAAAGGAAAACAACTGTGTTTCATGGATTTCCTTCCAGTCTATTTTTATGCTTTCATGTATGCATACAGAGCCATGTATCCATAAATAATTTATGCATTGCTTTTGTCTGCTTTTAAAATTTTTATTTTCATCTAAGTTATACATAATATAGTTTGAAAAGTCAAATATTTCTGCAAATCTTGCTACTTAAAACAGCTGTCTTGGTACACCACTCTCACTACCTAATCATTTCCTGTTTCTAGGATCCTTATGATATTTACTTCCATATGTCTGAGTAACATGATTACAATTCTGCCTCCTGAATGTTTGTTTTAGGCATTATCACTGGACTTCCCAATATAGAGGATGGGGATTTAGCTCTTTTTCACTCTTTACCTATAAGGAGGTAAAAAGAGGTGGGGGCTAGAGGAGGAGCCAATAGTAACAATTTTGAAAGCTGGAAAGCAAATGGTGAGTGATCATTTAGCAGTCTTGAAAAAGCTAAAGTGCTTTTATTTTTAGTTATTTATTTGGAGACAGGGTCTTCCTCTGTTGCCCAGGCTACTAGAGTGTAGTGGCATCATGATAGCTCATGGCAACCTCAAACTCCTGGGCTCAAGCGGTCCTCCTGCATGGGTTTCCAGAGTAGCTGGGACTACAGGTGTGTGCCACCACACCTGGCTAATTTTTTGCAGAGACAAGGTCTTGTTATATTACTTAGGCTGGTCTCAAACTTGCAGCCTCAAGTGAGAAAAAGCTAAAGTTTTAGCCAGCAGGAGGGAAAACTTATATTGCAGTACCCCTAAAAGGCTCTGTATTGGAGACAGCAGGTACTTCACAAGGTGGGGATGAAAGCAGAATCGGTCCCCTACCACTCCGCACAGTCAGATGATTGTCCTTCCCAACCTTGGCTGATTGTCACTGTATTCTCTGCAGAAGGCAAGCAGGCTGTAGTATTTGGAGGTATTATCTTCTTGCTTCCAGAATTGATTTTAAGTGTAATCTTTCTGACTCTTTTGCTTTTTAAAAAATGTTGTCCTTTCTCCTACTCTAGACATTTGAAGAATTCTCTATTTGTTCCCAGAATTTTGAAAATTTACAACGATGCATATTAATTTAGGTTGATTTTCATCCACGGGGATGGGTACCTGCCATTCTAAAAATTATTATCTTCAGTTCTGGGAAATTTTTTTTTTTTTTTTTGAGACAGAGTCTCACTATGTTGCCTAGGCTAGAGGCTTGTTGCGTCAGCCTAGCTCACAGGCTGACCTCAAACTCCTGGGCTCGAGCGATCTTCCTGCCTCAGCCTCCTGAGTAGCTGAGACTACTATTTTTAGTAGAGATGGGTCCTTGCTCTTGCTCAGGCTGCTATTGAACTCCTGAGCTCAAGCGATCCCACCTTGGCCTCCCAGAGTGCTAGGATTACAGGTGTGAACTACCACATCTGGCCTGTTGTGGACCATTGACCAGGCTTGTTAGGACAGTACCCTTTTCCACTGCTGCTTGTGTAACTGGACACAGCCCTTTGCCCAGAGCCAGACTCCAAGGGAAGGCAAAGGGAAGCGCTCACATACTGATCACATTCTAGGCACTTGACATGGTATTACTATAGCAATAACAGTGAACTCTCAGCGAGTGCTTGCTAGGTGCTCTTCCAGGCTCCTCACCTACATCAACTCACTGAGTCTCAGCACAGACCTGTAAGGCTGTTAACACCCCTCAAGACACTGAGGCACAAAAAGCTCCCACAGCTTGCCCAAGACCACACAGTAAGTGGAACACTGGGATTCAGGCAGGGTCCTCTGGCTCAGTGGGCGCTTAGCCACGGTGCTGCCTTGAGTTTGATTCCAAGAGTAACAGTGATCTAATCAGAGGTGCTCCAAGCTCAGCGAAGCACAATGACTGGCTTACAACCTCATGGCTAGTAAGGGACAGACACAGCCCAGGGTCTTCCTGCCTCCAATGTCCAGG